TACCCATTACTGTAGAATGTACAAAGCCCTGGACTCAACTTTCAGCTAACATCTGATTACTTGAATAAAAAAGTAGCCTTAAAGATTTAACTTTAGCCGGGCGGTGGTGGCGCACGCCTTTAATCCCAGCACTCGGGAGGCAGAGGCAGGCGGATCTCTGCGAGTTTGAGGCCAGCCTGGGCTACAGAGTGAGTTCCAGGAAAGGCGCAAAGCTACACAGAGAAACCCTGTCTTGGAGGAAAAAAAAATTTTTTTTAGCGTATGTATCTTTTTTTTCAATGTATATCTCAACCTGTCTGTATCTAAAATGTTTGAACATAATATTTGTAAAGAGAAACAAAGAGAGTTGAGGCTGTAGCTTAGGGAAGAATACTTGCCTAGCATGTGCAAAGTACTGGGCTTGTAAAAAGTAGGGGAAGAGGAGTGGGGAGAACTTCCTGAGAAGCAGGCTGCTGCTGGTTCCTGTGTGAAGTGATCAAGGAAACACTACAGGCCTGGGTTATGAGGGAATCTTGCTAAAACTTAAGTATTTACAGTTGTTTACTAATAAGATCACCTGGCTTGAATCGAGGATGGGCTACAATACAACACTTAACAGGTTTAAGGGATTCACACAAGGTCACAGTAAGATGGCAAAGCTTCCATCTGTCTGTAATCAAACTCCACTCTAAGGAAGTACTACCATGGTAAAGCCTTCCTTAGGGATTTATTCTGCAGCTTTTGAACGCAGAAATCATTTATAAATTTCAGAAAGGAATGACTAAAGGGAGGCATAAAAGCCTCCTTTGTGTATATCCTGTTTAAACAGGACACAGTAAATGGTACGCTGGAGTACCATTTGTGCTGTGGGCTTCACTAGTTCAACATGGCAAGTTCAAATGGCTTAAGGAAATAAAAAACATCATCCTTTACATTTATTAGCCGCATCCTGGTGCTCAGCAGTCAGTCACATATGGCAGGCGGTCAGTGTTAGAGCGCTGGTAGAGAAGCCTTCCATCATGCAGAGTTCCAGCACACAGCACGCACTGCTCTACAGGGAGCTGTGTAACTCTACAGTGGCAGTGGTGAAGGACACCGGCTCTGCAGAGCAATGATGCTGGAGTCTACATCTCTCAGCAGCTTCATAACGCCTGGGCAAGTTTTTAGACACCCGAGTATCTTGTTTGTCCATCTTTTAAGATGGGAATCAGAGAGATGGAGATAGGAACATCACTGCTATTCAGTAACTGCAGAATCTGCAACCCCTCAATCCCTCAATGAGGTCCAATTAAAGCCTTCTGTAGCTACCAAAAGGCTCCAGACAGAATGAAAATACAGTATTTCTCAGAGATTCATGAGAATCATTGACTCCAATCAAAGTATCTTCTAAGATTTGACCTTTTTCTTGGGGAGTAGGTGAGCAAGTATTTTGTATAAAGAAAAGCTAAAAAAGAAATACAACAGTTTAGAATTGGAAAAAGTTTTAGTTCAATGGTTGTTCCCCACCCTCATTTACTCTAAAACTGAACCTGAGTGAGAAAAAGCTGGATATGAAAGTATCATTTGAGTTAAATGGGCCAGGTATTTTGGTGGCATCTCCCATGGGAGAATGACGAAAGAATAGCTACAGGATCAGGTATAATTACCCACACACAGAATCAGATCCTAGCATTTATTTAACGGACAAATCCCCAAACAGCTCAACAGTTTCCTGACCCAACAGAGCTACGTTCTATGTTTATGACTCATTAGACAATCGTACACTCAGGAGAGTCCTAAGACTCCACATCACCCTATGCCAGTGGTTCTCAACCTGTGGGTCAAATGACCCTTTCACAGGGTTGCCTAACACCATTGGAAATATCAGATATTTACATTATGACTCATAATAGTAGCAAAATTACAGTTATGAAGTAGCATGAGGAACTGTATCAAAGGTTGATACAGTTGTATGAGGAAGGTTGAAAACCACTGCCCTATGCTGTTGGGCCACCTCTGACACAGCTCCTCCTTTATTTAAATGTCGCCCCCAATAGGATGACCCCGGTAAGTGAGCTCTCTGTTCAAGTAAGGAAATATTTCTATACTTTGAAAGCTTTCTAAAAAACAAAGACGAACAAAACAAAACCACAAACAAAAAGCATTAGTTCACTTTTCTCCACAAGAATATTTCAATTAATGCTATGAATACTGCTGATGATTAAGGTCTACTAATCTATGATACTGTAATGGGTTAAACTTACAGAACCCTGACAATTTTATGTTGACCCCAGTTACAGTCTAGATAGCTGCTAGGTGTTTACACAACAAAGCCAGATGATAGTTGGTTTGCTTATAAATCTCCCTTTAGTTTTTCTGCACAAGTACTAGAGAATCACTTCCAAAGAGCCCAAACTCTGGTAGGTTCTATTTGCTTTTTTGTTAGTTTGGCTTTAAAGACAGGGTTTCACTATGTAGCCTTGGCTGGCCTGTGTGGACCAGGCTGCCTTGAACACACAGAGATCCACCTGTCTCTGTCTCCTGAATGCTGGGAATAAGTGTGTGCTCCACCTCCAGGATGCCCAGTGTAAGTCAGTTTCACAAGACTGCAACTGTGAAGGACTTAGGCTTATGCTACAGGTAATCAGGTGCTCCAGTCCCTTGATGATTTTCCCCAGTGACTATCTTAAAAATTTAGTTAGTGGCCAGGCGGTGGTGGCGCACACCTTCAATCCCAGTACTCGGGAGGCAGAGCAGGCAGATCTCTGCGAGTTCAAGGCCAGCCTGGACTACAGAGGGAGTTCCAGGAAAGGCACAAAACTACACAAAGAAACCCTGTCTCAAAGAAAAAAAAGAAAAAAAAAAAAGTAGGTGTTCTTTTGAAGAATTTCCCACAATGGAAATTTAACATAAAGTGGCCCTTTGTAACATTCCACTCTTTCTCACTAGTTCACATAAATCCTGAACTTACAGGTACTAAATAACATGCTTTTTTTGTTTGACTCTTTGAGCTATGAGCTTATAGCACGGGCTATCCAGCCTCCAAAGTGCTGGGATTACGAGTGTAGACTACCTACCATTCCTGGCTCAAAAAGTGTCTCTAATATGTATGGAGGATTTAAAATTTGAGAGGATGTAAAAACCTGAGGAACAGTTTACCGAAAAATCAAGAGATAGACCTTATTTTGCTTACTTAAAAAAGAGCAAGAAAGAATTCGGGGCTTCCAGCTTTCTAAAGCGCTGTTTTCATAACCCTATGGGTTAGACACACAAACTGCCCCTCTGTCCTCAACCACACTTCTAATACCCATACTGAACTATCAGAATCCAATGTACATTTTGTGTGTGTGTGTGTTGCTGGAGATCAAACCCAAAGCCTATGAAGGCTAAGGATTCATCTACCATTGAGCAATATCCTTGCCCTTTAAGTATATGTTTTTGAACAGATGGTCCCATACTTATGATAATCTGACTTAAGATCTTTTGCTTACAAAATGTTGTGAAGTAGCATGAATGGAATAAAAACCGTATTTTGACTGTACCTTGCCTTCAGAGTAGGAATAACGGGCAACTCTACTGCAGCGCTGTATACAACCACCAACCACAGCTCCCACTCCATAGGACCACAGGGGGACAAACAGTAATCTACAGTGTACTGTGTTGCTGAGTTATGATATCTGGTAGCTTAAGTACACTAGCGAATTTTCAATTTATGATAGATTTGTCAGCAAGTAACTCCAATGTGAGGTGAAGAACATGTATACTCTACTTTTTTGAAAGTGTTACTCTGAGCTTTGTTGACTGAATTTCAATCACTATTAGAACATGTAAAAATGCTTGAAAAGGTCTTGGACTAGGAACTCTCCAACTAACTGTATGCTATTGGGGATATTATTTTAAGGTGTGTTATTTTTGTTTATCTTGCCATTTTTTAACTCTGTGAAGCTGTGTTATGTTGCCTGTCTAAAACACCTGATGGTCTAATAAAGAGCTGAACAGTCAATAGCAAGGCAGGAGAAAGGATAGGTTGGGCTGGCAGGCAGAAAGAAGAAATAGGAGAAATCTGGGAAAGAAGGAGGAGCCAGTCACCCAGCTACACAGCAAGCCATGAAGTAAGAAACAAAGTAAGATATACAGAAGTAAAAGAAAGACAAAAGCCCAGAGGCAAAAGATAGATGGGATACTTTAAATTAAGGAAAGCTGGCAAGAAACAAGCCAAGCTAAGGCCAGGCATTTATAAGCAAGAATAAGTCTCCATGTGTGATTTATTTGGGAGCTAGGTAGTGACCCCCAAAGAGTAAAGAGCCAAAACCAACCAACAACAGTATGCCATGCACCTTTGAGTCTTAGCTGACCAAACTACCTTGTATCCCACACAGGTTACTTTCTATCATTAAAGCACAACAGCTTTTGACACAGTATTTGTACCTACTAAACATTCTATTAAACTAGTAGGTTGAAAAGTGCCACCATCCATGGCAAAGTACTTTCCCTGTGGAAAGCATGAGTATCTGCTCTCATTTTGTCTCTCGAACTAAATTCTGTTGCTCAGGGATAGGAACTGACAAGAATCGGCACTACAACAAAAACAAAGGACTAAATATTTCATAACAGAAACAAATACAATGATAACAATTAGGCTAGATAGTATAGTTAACTAAAATAACCTAAGTTAGCTACTTGCAAAAGTCTTTTCAATTTTAGAGCTAGCTGAAAATGTTTGCTTTTGGGGCTGGTTAAGATGATGCAGTTGAAGGGACTGGCCATCAAGCCTGACGACCCGAGTGAGTTCCATACCTGGACCTGACACGGTGGACTAGAGAACTCAAAGTTGTCCTCTGACCTCCATACATGGGCTGTGGTGTATGTGCACTCACGAATTCACAGTTATATACATAGACACATTTAGAAGAGTTTCATCTTTTACCAAGACACGTATTTATAATCATAGAGTATAGACCATATTTTGTATAATCTGAAACTCCAAACTCTAATGTCCTGAAACTGAAGTGCCTCTGTTCAATGCAAACAGATATACTCACAGCTTGCATTTCTATACAGAAGAAATGGTTCATGGAGCTGAAATTCCAAATCTTTATTCACTGGTTCGACCAGGTTGTGCATGTTCAGTCGGTTGACAATGGTGAAACCATGGTAAGGTGAAGCAGACCTTAGATTTAAAGAAAGGGAACATGTTACCTTTCAATCTGGAAAAAAGGCATCTACATTTTTTTCACTAAAAAAAAAAAAAAAAAAGCCTACATTATCACATCACATGACACGATTAGCATTTGAAACCATGAACAAAAACACAAGGCAGGGATATAACTCAGTGGCAGAGTGTTTGCCTAGCATGAACAAAGTCCTGGGTTTAGGCCTCAACCCTTAAAAGTCAGACCACCCGTTTGCTCCTAAGTGTTATAAGGATTCAGTTCCTCAGCGTCACAGTCAAGTCATCGAGGTCCCCACCCCACTTCAGCTCCTCTATTTCTTTCCTGCTTCCGCTGCTCTGGCTGTCACCATCCGCAGGTGTGCTCCCACCTAAAGACCTGTCTGAACTACTGCCCCCAAATGAGCACCACCCCCTTACCTCCAGCAAGCATTTGCTCAAATGTCACCTTCTCACCTCAATACCCACCTACTGTTTGTCTACTTACCATCTTTCTCCACTACTAGAATGTAAGCTCCCTGCATCTGAGGAGCTTTGCCTTTTCCCCCATACATGTATACATAAGCATGTACTGACATAAGATTGACATATGCATGTAATATATGCTGGAAGAAATAGCATTTTTTTTAATATGGTACAAGTATGTCTATGACTGCCACTCATAGCAGCAATAATCTTTCTTACATTAGTCTTTTGTATGTTTTTTCCTGAGTTAGATGGACTTGACTCCTACAGTAAGAATACTCTTAGTTTCTTTACTAAGGGGATTCAACACACAATGCACTGAACGTTCCTCAAGCTAACATAACACACTCTTTAACCCAACTCAATACAAACAGAACCAGACAATCATCTTGCTGCCACCACCCCAAGTTCTAGAAAACAAGGGATGTGTGTGGGAGCCCGTTCTCGGGTTCCTCATGGCTTTACCCAGCAGGTCCGCATAGAGGATGATTAGGACCACGGGCCTGAGTGCAGGTGTCTGAGATGGTCTGCACTTGGCTGTGCTGGGGGAGGAGGTCTTTTGCTCCACCCCTTGGCATCTCTATAAAAACCCTGGGGCAGAGACAGTCGGGGCCGTTGGAATAGGTTCCAGGCCCTCTCAAGGCTATCCTTTATTTTCTATCTGTTTATCTCCGCGATATTCTCCGCAATAAATCCTTCTATCTAATATTTCCTGCTGCTCGCACTCAAGAAAACTCTGGGGAACTGTGGGGGTGGTGGGTAGACGCCCCACAGATGTGCCTCTAAGAACAAGCCCTATAGGCATCTCCAAAGACAAGTGTCCCATGACAGTCATATCCTGTGGTCTGTCCAAACAAGGCAATGCTGTAAACCATTGCAAATTAACAATTTAAAGAATTTTCAGAAGCTTAAAGTAAATATATATACAATTATGAACACCCTAGGCATTCTAAACTCTCAAACTAAAATAGATATGATAAAGACTATATAACCCAGAACTTTGGGGAAGACGTGGGAAAGGAGCAGAACCAGTCATAGACGACAAACTCTCATTAGAAACTGCAGATCAGCAAGACTGACGTCTCAACTACTATAGTTAACATGTACTGTATCCACAGACATTCCTATGTTCATCCTCTTTAATATGGGAGAGCTGGGCAGCCTCTCTTTGGGATGCGTTATTAGAAAAGGATTTCTATCCCGAGATAATTGTGTCAGGCTGAGTGGAGAAGCAGCTAGGGTAGGGAGTGCACAGCCTGCATGGATGAAGCTGGAAGGAGACAGGACAGCTCCAAAGAAGCACACCAGAAACGGACCATGCTACAAGAGACTGCCCCATTCAAGTGAAATAGAAACAGACTTAAAAACTTACCTTCGATACACAAATAGGGTCCCTTCTATATCAGTCTTCTCCTGTAACAGACAATAATTCTGTTAGTTTTCCACTAATAAACCAATGGCAAATGGTTTTAGTGG